CGGAAGGGGAATGCTCAACAACAGACGTTTTGGCTGGCTGTTTCTCCTGCTGCTGCTTAGACTGCTTATCTTCTTGATGGTGTTGTGACCCCTCTGCGTGGTGCTCGCATTGCTCTTGGTCCTGCTGGCCATCACGCAGTTGCTGCTGCCGATCGTCTTCTTGTCGCATCCCACAATCTGCCTGCTGCAGCCCATCCTTTTGCTGCTGCAAGTCTTGCTGCTGCTGCTGATCCTCCAGTGGTTGGGATTCCTCATGCTGCTGCATGCCAGTGCTGTACTCTTCTTGTAGTCTCTTTATTGTGTTCCCTAGCTCTTCCCCTTCTCCCAATGCTCCCGCTGCAACTGTCGACCCCGTCTTCCTCCTTCAAGCAGCAGGAACTACCACACGCTTTGCAGCCTCTTGCTACATCCATTGTTCAATGAGAGGCCGGTCTCTGTGGGCCAAGGTCTGCGCCTGTGCTCTAGCACGCTCATCCTCGCTATCAACATTTACGAAGGCGGGGCCCATTGACTCCAAGAACTCTGCGTCATCGTCCAAGTGCGCCGCATCCGCCCTCAATGTGAGCTCCTCATCGATGTTGTCGTCGTCACTGTTGTCTGACTCGTCACTCTCTCGAGGCGGACGCAGGCCAAACTCCACCTTCTCCTCCTCTTCCTCATCCTCGTCCTCCCCCTCCTYCTCCTCTTCCCCCTCCTCGTCCTCCTCCCCATCCGCCTCATCCCCTTTTTCATAACCGCCCTCGACATCATCATCAAGCAGTTGCATCTCGTTGAGGTCCTCAAGCTGTTGCTGCTTTTGTGTCTTCTGTCTCTTTCCCCTCCAGATAAGGTCCTCCCCATCGTCACTGCTATCAGAGGAGCTCGAATYATCCACTCCCTTCATCCTTGGGACCCTCCCTTTGGGCGCCTTTCTCAGGCGAATCATCCGCGCTGCCTCGTTATCAGAAGGGTAAACGCTTGGTGTCGTGGCAGGGAGGACAGCGGGGTCTTCGGACGATGGAGCTTCCGCTTCATCGAAGCAGCTGGCCCAMAAGTCAATATAACCCCCCCTTTTTGTCATCTTCACCTTTTGTAGTTGTCTGTTCCGATGAACGTCGACGAGTTTCTCAACGGTCCCACTACCCAACGTGTTTCTCCGCTTGCTGTGAACAAGATCCAACGACGACCAATTTCTCTCGCATGGGGTGGCCATGCTCCACATGGCGGTGACCCTCACTGCAATCTCCTGCAATTTCCTGTGGCTTCCGCCATAAGTGCTGCACCATTCGGATGCAGTCAGCTGCAAAAGCCTGCTGTCGAACTTCGCGAACTTTGTCCAGAAGCTCTCTTCCTCCTCCTCTTTATTAAGAGGCTCTTCCCCCTTCTTTCGAGCCTCTTCCCTCTTCTTTTTTGCCTCCTCTGCCCGCTTGTGCTTCATTTCTTCTGTGGGCTCCCTGTGGAAGGCCTGCAGATCTGCCCACAGGTCAAGGTGCTCTTTACACACCCATGTGGAACCCTCTGGGCACTGAGATAACAAAAAATTCATTGCGTTTTGCACAAGCGGGCTGTTGATGTCGTTCAGCCACCGCCCGTTTCTCTTCTTCGGATTGAGGAGGAGATTGGCAGCATGCACGTGCTGCCTCATCATTTTGCACTGGGTAATCATCTAAGTATTGATGGCCTTCTGTTGTGCTGCTGTTAGTCCGTCGATGTGCTGCACACGCTTCATGAGGCCTTTAACAAAGTTTCAGATCTGATGTGGGGCCGTGCCGTTGTGGTCCATCTTCCGAAGCAGCTCATACACAGGCTCCATTACTGTCACAGCCCTGTTCAATAGCTGCCACCATTTCGTGGTGACGACCGTGACGTACGTGGCTTGGGATTTGCCTCTGTCCTTTGCTCCGCTCCACCTGATGTCGTTCCAACCTTCCTCCATCATCTCCTCCAATACCTTCCTTCTGTCCTTCAACCGCGCGAGCATCATGAACTTGGATGCGAACCACACCTCTGTGGGGAGAATCAGCGACCTCTCCCTCACCAAGTCTGAACACTTGCTGTAGAGGGGCACAGTGCGGTGGTGGTTCTTAATGAACTTCACCATCATCTTCGCCCTCTGCGCAACTTCCTGCACCCAGTCCACTCCACAAATGTCCTTCAGCAGCATGTTCAAGCAGTGTGCTGCACAAGGAACCCAAGGAATGCGGACAATTCGAAAATTTGTTCGCCTCCTCAAAATTCGTGCAGCTTGCTTGTTGACCTCTACGTTATCCGTGCAGATTGGATTGACTGTTTGAACCCCGATCTCCCTGACGACCCCCTCCCTGATCTTCGCAAGATCAACTGCAGTCTTTTTCCTCTTCGACATGTCCACCACCTTCAACAGCGCAGCCCCGCCCTCGCCTGCCGCTAGGAAGTTCATTACGGGCCTGAACCCGCGATGGGTGCACCCATCTGTGATGAGGGTACATCCAGTGTTGTCCCACTTCTCCATCAACGGACGGACCTCCTCCTTCCCCTTCTCATATAATGTCTAGTGCCACCGTCCGGATAATCTCCAAGGAAGGCATGTTCACCCTCTATTTCTTCTCGCCCAACTCCAAATATAGCTCATGAAGCTCCTGGGTTTTCACCCCCCTCACATGATTGAACGACGCCCCGTGCTCACATAGATGCTCAACCCAAGCAACATCCAACCTCCGCTGAGAATTATTCTTAGTCCAWCGCTTGAYGGATTGTTGTTTGAGCTTCCCCATCTTCGCTTCAGTCGCTGGCTCCTGGGCGGAAGCCAAGGCAGCGACCACCTCCTCCACCTCGCCATCGTCCTGAGGAGTTTCAAGGCCCTCTCTCCGTGGTGCTGTCGGTGGCTGCATGAACTCCTCCAGCATGTATGCATCCCCGTCCTTCTCCTGCTCCGTCGGGGCTATAGGACCGTTGTCCGGTATGTTGTTCTCCCTGCGGTACATCTGTATCAACCGCAAAGCCTTCGGGCACTCCACCTTCGCCCCAGACCGTGAGAGGATGTGAAGAATTTCCGCAATCCTGTTCGAGCAAGGGTTCCCTTTTCGTGTGAAGTGCTCAACCACG